CTTTCTCTCACACACACACACACACACACACACACACTCGCACACACAGGGAAGGGGTTCATGGACAGTCCGCCCTGAAAGAAGCGCCCATTTGCACACCAGTAAGTCTGAGCCGACGTGGGGCGGCTTGATTGGCAGCTGTGGCTAAAGCGGCTGTGTGCCGTGTGTAGTGTGTGTTTTGCGTGTGCGATGCAGTGATGTGTTGCCAAGCCCAGGCAGGGAAGCGGTGAGCCCCCCATAGATGCAGGAGGTGGCCTGGATTCATACCATTCACTGGCCTGCCTCCATTTCCAACCGAAATAGGCCGCGGTTGTTTCACAAAACCAGTTTTTGGACTGGCAACAAGGCTGCGGTTTTGATGTATCACTAATCGTATCCTACACCTTTCTAGCGTATAAAAGCATATTCTACTGTTTCATGACCGTTTTTCATCCTCTATCTGATCTTTTACGTTAAACTATAATTTTTTTTGCTACAGTTGCATTAAGATCCATATTTAAATGAGCTCTGTTTTGATTGGAAGAGAGATTGGACTTCTAAATGTAGTTCATACTGAATAGGCGTGTCATATATTTTAGTGTTCAGAAAACTCCTGTTTTTCATGATATGTGGCCATTAAGCATTTTATTTAGGCTTTATAAATTGCGTCCTAGCTATAGTTATAACTAGGCAGCTGTAGATTTATTCTCCTTATGCACCCTAACACACCTTTTATCCCCAAAAAGGTCAAACACACATGCACCTTCCTATTCTGTCCCTCATACTGACACCTATAACTGTGAGGCCATGCGCCCAGGGACTCCCGTGATGCCCTTGCTGCATTGATCTGCCCTCTTCCACAACCTTCCTGATTTATTTTACATTTATTTACATTATATATTATACATTTCTATATTTATTTACATTATTCAAAACTTTAGGGTCGGTAAGATTTTTTTAAAAGAAGTCTACGATGCTCACCGAGGCTGCAATTATTTAATCAACTTTTAAATATTATAATTTTAAATAACAGTTTTCTACTTTAATATATGTTATGCAATTTGTTGAATTTTCAGCATCATTACTCCAGTCTTCAGTGTCACATGATCCTTCAGAAATCATTCTAATATGCTGTTTTGCTGCTCAAGAAACATTTATTATCAATGTTGAAAACTGTTGTGCTGCTTATTTTTATCTTTTTGATGAATCAAAAATTTAATAGAACAGTATTTATTAACATTATAAATTCCTTTACTGTCGCTTTTGATCAATTTATCATCCTTGCTGAATAAAAATATTAAAAAAAAAATGTATTAGTCCTTTTAAAAGTCTTACTGACTCCAAACTTTTGAATGCTAATGCTTTTCTGTTGATTTTAGTTATTTATTTATTTATTTAATGTATTAAACCTGACTGTAAAAGTCATTTTACAAAACATTGTCTTCATGACTGCACTTTACCTTTTCAGATATAAATGGTTTTTAAAGATATTTTATTTTATTAACAGACAAAGGTACAAACCAATTATAAATTGTCTAGTCAGACACACATTCATCAGCAGTCAACCAGTATCATGAAAGAACCTTTGCTTAATATTCACTCTCATTATTGAGGCTTTCAACAGCTGTAGCTCAGCAACACGAATGTTGACCAAAAATGCAGAGCTGAATGGTGCAGGTGTTGATTAGCTGTAAAAATATCTAACTTCCGCTACACTTCCGGCATGAACAGCCAGCCCTTGTTGCCCTTACATGCTCACACCTCCGTGCCCCGTGTCAGAAGGGCATTGGACAAAAGCCACGGCTGGCCTGATCCCTCCCGGCCTGCACGCCATCATGACCGCTGACTTTCTATCCAGCCCTTAATTAGCGTGGCTATTAGTTGCATCCTTGTTGTCGGGGAGAGGTGGAGTGAACGGAATAGGTGGCGTGAAAAGGTGTGGAGACTGAGGTTCTCCAATTAGGTATTTTCTTAAGGTGGCGGTTGACTCCCTCCACTCACCCGCCCCCGAGGAACCCCTCGGCTTTATCAGAGCTTTCAGACTCATCACATACATACGCATGTTATGCTGTTTGAGCTCCAGAGTGGATGTGGTGGCCACAAAGACCCTCCACACAATCAATAAGTAAATCAATCCACTGCGCCGTTCAGTCTTCGTTACCGTCTAACAGAGAACAAAAGAGCACTGGGTGACGGGGTCTCAGCGCCAGGCCAACACGCTCTTTTCTTCAACAGACTTCTGCTGGTGTTCATTAAAACAGGAGAAATGCCACAGTATAATGAGACCTGAAGCATCTTATAAAACTCTATTAGTGTTCAAAAATATGAGAACAGTTGTGGAAATGCTTCAATTTTGCATTTTATAATTTAATAAAAACATTTTTAAGATACATTAAATTACCAGTAGAATAAATTTGTGAAGTAAAAAAAGGGGGAAAAAATGTAAAAGATTTATTTAAAACTAGGTTTTCTAGATTTTTTAGGACCCAAAATAAACCCAGACAAGGTGATCAGGACCCCAATGCAACAAAGATTTTACATTATAAATAAATAAATGGATATGAAATATTGATTTACGTTGAATTAATTTTATTATGCGAGAAGATCGAGAGAGAACAGATGAAACCAGCTCAGTTATGTGGGAAATCGGTTGCATGGGAAAACAACATTTTTAGTGGTGCTTTGCAATTTAAACTGCAGAATGCACAATCAACAAATCAGAATATAATATGTATATATTTCTTTTAATTAAGAATTATGAACATTAATAAAAAAAAATGTATCATAAAAACAACAATTTTAATAATTATACTTAGTGAACACAAAATTGAACAAAAATAATTTAAACATAAAAATAATAATTTATTAATAATTAAAATTCTAAGAATTATGAATGTAAAATAAAAATTATTTAATAATACATCATATTTAATATTTTATATATAACGATTTGATCATTTATAACAATAAGCTTAAATATTAATATTCTATCTATCTATCTATTTTGATTATTGTTATTAATATTATACTGTATATTTTTTTTTTTCATTATTTTTTTAAGTCAAGTGCACTTTCAACGCTATAACAACACTTGCTGCACTCACAGAAAAGTTGAGCAGTGTTTTCTGAGTCACTGTTTCACTGCGCCGGATCCATGCAGCGTACAGTATATGGGACTGGTGTTCAGGTTCGAGCCTGAGGGCCTGTGAAAGCCAGACTGGGTGTCAGTAGCAGGGCCTAGGGCAGAGTAGAGCTGATCTCTATCTCCTGCTTATTCCTGCCGACTGAATCTATGGGGGTGTGTGTGTGTGTGTGTGTGTGTGTGTGTGTGTGTGTGTGTGTGTTGAGGCTGCCTCCTCTGAGTGGCACACAGCCTCTGGGGAATGACTCCACACACACATGCTCTCTGGATGAAGCGGGCAGATGGATCCCCTATAGCCGTGGCCAGTTCAGCAGCGCTGCATATTAAAGAGTCCAAAAAGCTCTGTTCAAGTTGTGTATAATTCATACACACTTCCTGCTCCGGCTTATGAGCTTCCACCTTCATTTACATACCGCCCTAAGCAGTGACCACTGTAAACATGATTGCGTTACAGCTGCGAAACTCTTCAAGTCGTGAAATCAAAATGAATCTGATTTAATTTCTTAAAGAATATTCCAGGTTCAATGCAAGCTAAGCTTGTTTGACTGCATTTGTGGTAATTAGTAAAAAGTAATTTCGACTCATCCCTCGTTTTCTTAAAAAAATAAAAAATACAATAAAATAAAAATCAAGGTTACAGTGAGGAACTTACAATGGAAGTGAATAGGGACAATTTTGGGAGGATTTAACAGCAGAAATGTGAAGATTTTAATCCTATAAATCTTACATAAATTCTTCTGTTAAAACGTGTGTATCATTTGAGCTAAAAAAATGTATAATTAAAGTCGAAAAAGATAATAAAATTTGATTTAACTTTACACAGAAATGGTTAGTATGTGACTTGTCACACTAACATGTTAACAATCACATTTTGTGGCTATGCTATTGAAACAATGAGTATTTTAATGTTTACAGATTCCATTCACTTATTTGATTTAACAGAAATGGTTAGTATGTGACTTGTCACACTAACATGTTAACAATCACATTTTGTGGCTTGTGGCTAGAAACAATGAGTATTTTAATGTTTACAGATTCCATTCACTTCCATTAATTGTAAATGCCCCACTGATTTTTATGACTTACTATCTAACTCATCTGCAGATGACATTTTGTGAAATAAGTACAAGTGCATCCGGAAAGCGCTTCACTTTTTTCACATTTTGTTATGTTATGTTTCAGCCAATTCATTATTTTCCTCAAAATTCTACAAACAATACCCAATAATGACAACGTGAAAGAAGTTTGTTTGAAATCTTTGCAAATTTATAAAAAAAAAATTT